GATCCCAGACCTTCTAGCCTGTTCCAAAGTACTCTACACCACTACTGAGTTCTCCCGTTATCTCTTTCACGGGAAACTTCTCGGTAATCATCTCTACACCGTCCGATCACAACCATTGCTACGTGTAAACCGATTACAGGATTCCGGTTGAGTAAACTGAACCTGTATTGCCACTTATATAACTACCTCCTTCCTCCACAACCTTAAATCAGTCTTCTACCTGCTTTTCACTTCTCTTAATTTCTTGAATCCTTGCTTCCCTTGTTTCTCAGTTGTTCAAGAATGGCTCCGGCAGCCGTGAATCTTGATATAATACCAACGGCTTCGAATTCCAAGAAGAGGGCGTACGTAACGTTCTTGGCAGGAAATGGCGACTACATAAAGGGTGTCGTCGGATTGGCCAAAGGGTTAAGGAAGGTTAACTCCGCGTATCCTCTTGTCGTGGTGGTTCTTCCCGATGTTCCTGAGGAGCACCGTCGTATCCTGGAGTCTCAAGGTTGCATCGTTAAAGAAATCGAACCAGTTTACCCACCGGAAAGTCAGACTCAATTCGCCATGGCGTATTACGTCATCAACTACTCCAAGCTCCGCATCTGGAAGGTATGGGTTACACGTGTCTCTTTTACATTTCATACGTGGCATTAATATGATTTCACACGTGGATTGAATCTTTTAGTTTTATGTTGCAGTTTGTGGAGTACGGGAAGATGATATACTTGGATGGAGATATCCAGGTGTTTGATAACATTGACCATCTGTTTGACCTGCCGGACGGCCACTTTTACGCCGTGATGGACTGTTTTTGCGAGAAGACGTGGAGCCATTCGCCGCAATACCAGATTGGGTATTGCCAGCAGTCACCGGAGAAGGTCCAGTGGCCGGCCGACATGGGTCCGAAACCGTCTCTCTTCTTCAACGCCGGCATGTTTGTTTTTGAACCAAGTATCAGCACCTATGATGATCTGCTAAAGACCCTCAGGGTGACCCCTCCCACCCCTTTCGCTGAACAGGTACGCTAATTAACAGTCGTTGGCATTTGGCAACAAATCTTCATAACATATATATATATGCTTCCGGTGATTGTGATTAACTAATTAACAAAATTCGTCTTGCAGGATTTTCTGAACATGTACTTCAAGGATATCTACAAGCCAATCCCTCTGGTGTACAATCTTGTTCTTGCGATGTTGTGGCGGCATCCAGAAAATGTAGATGTTGATGAAGTGAAAGTAGTTCATTACTGTGCTGCTGGATCAAAGCCATGGAGGTATACTGGAGAAGAAGAGAACATGCAGAGGGAGGACATAAAGATGTTTGTGAAGAAATGGTGGGATATTTATAACGACAAGTCTCTAGATTGCAATAAAAAACCGATTTTGGCAGCCAGCAGCAATAATATTAAGGGTGAGATGGTTTTATCGTCGGCACTGATCTCCGACCCTAAAGTACCCGTCTGCGCGCCCTCGGCCGCTTAATTAGCTAGGTCGATGGTAGTGACCGGAGTATATATAATGTATTGCTCATAGTTTGTTTTGGGTTGTTGGTTTCACTCCATTTCTTATAATGGACTGTATGGATATGTAAATTAGGAGGTAAAAGGTTTGCTGATTGCTCTTTTTCTCGTTCTTATCGTAATAATATTGGAATGTTAAGTTTAAAGTTCAGAGGTACCAAGATCTAGTGTACTCTTTTTCGAAAAAAAGATCTAGTGTCCTGATCTTCATGTCAATCTTTAAAGCTCGATGAATGTGATAAGAATCTTTTCATTGGGTAAAGTCTTTTATAGTGACTTCTGAGGGTGTTCAAAAAATATTTAGGGGTTAATAGGTTATTTTCTTTTCCAAGTTTTTGTTTGATTGATTTGTATTTTTCTCCTAGTCGTGTTGATGGGTCGTTTTCTTAGTATATATATCATACTAGGCGTAAATATTATACGGGTTATATTATACGGATCGATTAAAAAATTAAATATTAAAATTTTAAATAATAAGTATTTTTTTTTAAATAAAATTTTGAAAAATGAATAAACAAACATATTAATTACAATTTACTATCATATTTATTACATTTAATAGTTTATATATATAAGTAAAAGTATTATGTGACTTTTTTATTTTAAAATTTGAAAAAAAAAACCCTACCTATAAATTGACATGTGGAAGATATTTATTTAAAAAATATCACAAAATGACAAATATCAAAATTGATAAGAGATTGATATTTCTTAAAATTGATATTCATTTATTACATTTATTAGGGAGGATGTGCGCTCAGCGAGGTTGAGGGGTTTTGTAATTTTAGGTGCTCTTTCCATGTACACTAGCAGTTTAATTTGGTAGGTGTTCTGTTTTTTTTCTTTGAACGGCCACATTTTATAAACCAAACCAACTAGCTACAAAACAAAAACACAAAGAAAACACAAAGAAGATGATATTATGCTATTTTTGCTACTATCTATCTGAAAACCAATTAATCGTAATGAATAACAATTTCTTCTGAGAAGAATAGACTTCTCGTTGGTGATGCGTTGTTTTTCGATGTAATGTGTAATTGTTAAGTTGGCATGTTATGCGAGTTCTATATATAGGCATGAGCTATAATCAAATGTTAGATGCCGTGTAAAAATAACATCATTTGGGCCGTATTGTCTGTATTTTTGCATTTCGCTAATGAATTTATAGAAAGGATATTAACCAAAATCATAATTTTTGTAATAGTAAATTGCATAAAAGTAACTATGTTATCATAAATGTTCTATTTTGACATTAAGTTATTTTTTTGTTACATTTTATTCACTAAGTTTTCTAACTTTTGCAATGTTAGTTACCTGCTACCTGACAAGTTGGCATGATATTATTCGGTGACGTGACGTGATGTCGCGACATGGCAGTCTTTGGTGACGTGTGATGTTGTTATATAACATACATGTTCTCGAGTCTCCTTAACCATGCAACTCCAAATAACATCACAGCCTATTAAACCGTCGGTTTTTCATGTATATAGTAGACTGCCACAACTTGCATCAGATCTTCATATGATACCATCTTTGTCAGCAGTTTTGCATATGATATTCATCTTTCCATGAATGATCTAACTCCTTCCGATACACAAAATCCTGACCTTCATGTACCCATTGCTCTAAGGAAAGGTAAGCGTTCTTGTACTTACCATATACCCTCTTTTGTATTCTATGCCAAATTGTCTTCAGCTTCACGCTCTGTGATCTCTAACTTGACCCTATATTTGTTATAAAAACGGTTGGTGAAGCTTTGAACTATTCTGGATAGTGGGATGTTATGATTGATGAGATTAATGCTCTTGATCATAATCATACATGGGGTTTGCTAGACATACCTACGAGTAAAAAGGCGATTAGATGCAAATGGGTGTTCACAATAAAAGTTTGTCCAAACGGATAAGTCGCTCGTCTGAAGGCATGGTTGGTTGCTAAAGGATATGTTCAAACTTATGGTGTATACTACTTTGAGACATTCTCTCATGTGGCTAAGGTATCATACATCTGCTTCTTAATCTAACCAGATATTACTTGTGATCAGGCTCTTCACCAACTGGACGTGAAGAATGCCTTCATGTATGGTCATTTACATGAAAAAAAAAATTATATTGAGCAATCATCTAGGTTTGTTGCTCATGGGGAGTGTGGCAAAGTTTGTAGATTGCATAAATCACTATATGGTTTAAATCAATCCACTCGGGCTTGGTTTGGTCGGTTTATTGTTGTGGTGACAGAATTTGGCTTACAAAGAAGCTCTTATGATCATTATGTGTTCTTGACTTGAACGTTTTTCATATGCATTTTGCTAGTGGTGTATGTTGATGACATTGTGATTATTGGGAGTGATGAAATTAGGACCAAGAAGTTGAGAGATTTTCTTATGTCTCAAATTGAAAAAAAAAAAAAAAAAAAAAAAAGGACCTACATAGAATTGAGGTCTCTTGTACTCGAAAATGGTATGTTTATCCCAATGTAAATATTGTTTGGATATTTTGAAGGATTCTGGGATGATTGAAACAATTATGTTGTGAGGCCCCAATAATTTCAAATATAAAATTGAAAGCAGGTGATGAAGATTTACTTGAGAATCCAAAAAAATACAGAAGAATTGTAGGAAAACTTAACAACCTCACAGTTACACGTTCAAGCATTGCTTTCCTTGGTGGGTGTTGTAAGTCAGTTTGTTTCATTTGGGATATTGTTAGTTATTGTGAAGTATCTGAAGGGTGATCATGGTCATCGTGTCCTCGAAGGGTTCACATATGCCAATACAATAGGGACCCTACAAATAGGCAGTCGACTATATGATATTTGTGTTTGTTGAAGGAAATCTAGTTTTGTGGAAAGTAAGAAAGAGAATGTCGTTTGTAATATATATATATATATATATATAATATATATATATATATATATATATATATATATATATATATATATATATAGGGTGAAACTGGATATGCTCAATCAAAATCAATGAACTCGCATTGTGATAACGAGGCAGTTATTCCATATTGCAAACAATATCATTTTTGCATAAAAGGACTAGACATATCACAGGAGATTGCCATTTCACTCGTGTCAAATAGGAAGTCAGCCATATTTACTCCTCATATTTGAACAAGTCAATTAGTTGATATCTTCATCAAAACTTTACTTGATTTGAGAATCTTTGGTATTTGTAGATATCAATTAGGTGATACCTTCACCAAAACTTTACCCGGTTTGAGAATCTTTTCAGGAGAAGTGTTTTAATGTAAATATTACATTTATTATCTTCGGCCCAGTTAAGCCATGGGCTCATAGCCTCATAGGGTTTCCTATGTCTAGGATAGTACGATTCATGCTCTATATATACAGTATTATATAGTACTATACCTTCTCCTTGTAAGACATGAATCAATAAGATATTTACATACTCAATCTATTTCTTGTTTACACGAACACGCTTCATGTGAGTTACCTAATTTTTGATACAAGTAAACGACTGGTAGGTTGTTTCTTGGTTGCCTATCAAGAAACAGTGCGTGTAATTTGTAAACCTCCATTATCATTGGAAGTATTTTTACATGTATAATTCCTTCTCTCTTCCTTCATATATACAGTCCCCCTGTCTCTATTTATTTGGATCATAATATATATAAATATATAAATATGACAAACTATATACACCAAAAAGAGCGTATAAAGAATCTTAAGTGGAACAAAACTTGCTATCAACATTCTCGTAATTGGTGGGTGTTGTTTACTCCAGGCCAGCTGCAGCCAGTGGACCATCCCAAAACTCCAAGGACCAAATCAACCTGTGAACACGCACTCACCATGTTCTCATACCTTGCTTCAACATGGAACAGAATAACTGCCATTCCTTTTCCCCTAGCAACCTCAGCCTGTCCATTTACACACTCATCATCAACCATATAAGAGTATAACTAACCAACTAACACAGATGAAAACAAGAAACAATCACACTCACCGCACATGAGCAAATTGTGACACCAACATCACCCAATGCCTTTGAGATATCAGCAAGCATCCCTGTCAACACTTATTTACTGTTACATCACCCTCTAGGCTCTACGTATATATACAGATAGATGATAATGATAGTTGATGGAACGAAAAGTGAAAAGTGTACCTCTTCTATCAATACAAACAACGCACATCCATTGGATAGAATGTCCTTCAAAATCAGTCCAGGATGAAATTTTCCCATCACGCCAGCTTTCAAGACCAGGTAACACCGCTTCCTTATGGATCATCATCTTAGCATTAGCAAAACCATTCCCCTCATACACTCCCTTGCCCTTCAAACTAACACTCACTTGTTTGTTATGATTTCCGTTAACTTTGGGGACCTTAATACTACTGTTGTTCTTTAACTGGAAAAGATCTGCACCCATCATTTTCATGGATGACATTTCCATGACATTCATGACGATCTTCTCCCACGTGTGCTGGATCCCTTTAGAGTAGTCTGTTACTACCTCTTCCGCTTCACTATCGTCACCCGAATCAGCAACAAACTCCCTCACCGAGTCCGCTGTTAGCTGACTTGCAGATTGAGACGCCTGCTCCTTCAAAAACTGAACACAATACATTACATCAGAATTCATTTCAGAAACATACAATCATCACATTAAGCTAACCTACTTTCATAATCTTGTGTCTTGCACTTCGTGTTTTTGCATGTTGCAACCATTGCTTGTGCCTCTGGAAAGCGGATTTGCTCGAGAGGGCCTACAATATTTTATTTAATTAATTATTTTTGAATAATAATAATAATAGCTGATGATGGTTGAGATTAACTAACGTTATATGTCACTATCTCCACAACTTCTGCATTTGCAAGCACATGCAAGGGAGGAACAATATTGCCATTGACCTGATAAGAGATGATGATGTGATTATTAGACTCAACTCTTGAGACCCTTTAGGTTAAAAATACTCTCATCAAACAGTTACAGAATGGACTTGCCTTTGCAGCTACCATACTGTTGCCGATATCAGTGTGTATCATATAAGCATAGTCGATGACAGTTGCTCCCTTGGGTAAATTCTTAATCTGTAATGGGTAAAGAATAAAGTGAACAAGAAAGCAAACAAACAATTTAGATTTTAGAGAGAATGGGACATAAAATATGCAAGCAATGTCAGCAGCATTTTACCTCTCCCCTTGGCGTAAATACAAAGACACGACTACCTAGAAGATCCTTAGTGATTGTATCTACAAACTCTCTAGAGCTCATGTTTCCAACAAACTCCTCTTGCCATTCTCTAATCGCATTCAGCCACCCAATCTGAAGAAATCAGTTGTGAAATGAATAATCTATTACTATGATTTATGATGATGATGATGAGTAAGTATTAAGTAACAGATAGCATACCCTAAGGGCCACATTTGCGTTGTTAAGGCAGACTGGTTTCCCTCTCAAGTATCTGTCGTTAGCCACTGTATGTCTGACTAAGCCATTAACAACTTTCCCACTGTAGTGAGCAGCAATACCTCTTTCTGCTATCAAGTCCATCTCTTCAGTTCTAATCTGCACTTGCACACATAATAAAATATAAAGTATAAACATTGCTTGCTTCTTCACTTGTTCTAAAGTAGTTGAAGAAAAATACAAGAACAAGACTAATCAACCAAACCAAAGCCCAGTGAAAATAATTTCGGTACCTGAACTTCTAGACGAAACATGCTCTCATAAAGAAATGGAATTACAGTAGTATGAAGGCTCTGATAACCATTGGGTTTTGGGGTTGCAATGTAGTCTTTCATCTGTGAAAAAAGGTGTAGGTGTATATTAATAAGAGAAGGAGCTGAAAACCAATTAGAATCAAGGGCAAAATGGTCAAGATACACACAGCTCGAGGTATGGGGGTCCATATCCCATGTACCAGCCCAAGGACATGGTAGCAAATCTGCAACGAATAGCATTTATATAAGGAATAATGTTCTTCTAAAATCTGTGCAGCACCAAGTATTTGGCAAATGTAAACTTTATTACCTGTTGTGCATTACATAAAGGCCCTACACCAACACAAGGCTTGGGTTTGATTATGATCCTCAGCTGTTAAACCAAATACAAAAAGCATGTCAGAAGAATAAAATTAAAAGCAACCAAGTTATTGGGCAACTGATTAACTACCTGTGCAATTTGATTGACTTCATTGATTGAACCTTTGGATTTGAGTACAGATTTATGGATGCTGCAAATACAAAGAGTCCAAAATCAACAAGATGCAGATGCAACTTTAAAAGAGGGGGATCCATCACCTTACCTGTAAGGTTCCTTACAGACAGAACGCACTTCAGTTTTCACAGTCATAAGGTCTAAGAACTGATCGTCTTCAATCTTCTTAATCAAAATTTTATTTGCCTAACAGAGGAAGAAAACAATCAGCCAGGAAAAATGAAATGGTGAAGTGAATGACGGATCATGTAACGATAACAGACATTAACAAATTTAATTTGACAGATGACAATGCTTTGATTTTATTGCAGGAAAGTACCTCTTCAATTTCTTTCTCCTGTTCTTTACAGAGTTCTGCAACTCGTCTCTTGACTTTAGCATAATCTTGAGGGTTTGTGTACATGAAGGACAAATTCTCAAGCTCAGACTGCAAAGAAAATTATGTTCACAAAGAAGATATACCAATAAAAATAAAAGGATCTCTTTTGTATAATCTAAAATCTACCTTAATTTGGTACATTCCAAGGAGCTTTGCAAGAGGAGCAAAAACTTGTAGTGTCTCCATTGCAATGCTGGACTGTAGATGGTCAAAATTTATGAAAACAATGAGAACCTTGAATCATATAAAACTGTGCTGATATTTGATCAAAAAATCTGACTTCACCTGCTTATGTGAAGGCATATGTGAAAGAGTCCGCATATTATGTAATCTGTCTGCTAATTTGACAATTATCACTCGGACCTGGAAAAAGCAGTAAATTCAGCAGCAATTGAAATGGAAGTAAAATTAAGAACTTGCAATAATCAGTGAATGTGTGTGTTACCTCCTCAGTCATGGCTAGAAACATTTGTCGAAGATCATGTGCTTTCACATCTTGTACTGAATGACTTTCATTTTTATACTTGAGCTTGCCGAGTTTTGACACCTGAATTAGACTAGAATCAAGTCTGACAGATTTTTTTTAAAATCACAACTGCAAAAAAAATGTACAGTATGCAAAATACAACACCTTAGTTTCTCCTTCAACAATGTGACGAACAGTTGCACCAAATTCCTTCTCTATTTTTTCAAAAGTAACATGATTTGTATCTTCAACTGTGTCATGTAATAAACCAGCAGCAATTGACTCCCAGTCCAATTCCTTAAGAAATGTTTGTTAATTATTAGTCAGCTAAGTGATTTTTTTTTAATAACACCATTATACAAAAGCAATTGAACCAAAGGAATTTAATAAACTTAAAAAGGTCAGGTCCCCACCAATTGCTGATGGGATATCTAACGACTTATTTCCATAAGAACCATTCATAATATTGTGCAACTCACAAGTTCTCCCAGAATTCTTGCAACTTCAACAGGGTGAATGATAAAGGGTTCTCCACTTCGTCTTTTTTGCCCATCATGTGCCTCAAAGGCCAGCTACACCACCAAAAAAAAAAAGTAGAAAACTATCATCAACAGAAACTAGGATTAAAGCAATTGAAATCAGAAGTCAAATACAACAACTTAAAATGATAATCACTCCATTAATAGATAATAATCATATATAACGACTGTAAATCCCTACATTTAGAGCAGCGCGCACTAATTTTAACTCATCGGATGTAAGGTATGCAATAGCAGGTTGAAGATCCTGGGGATATCAAAACAGAAGGACATTAGTAGCCCTTAGTTAACAGCTCAGATCATAAGCATAATCTTTCTTGCGTGGTATGCAAAATACTGATTAAATTATACACATCTTATCTCTTATAGCATCTAAACACATTTTCAAAGCCAACAAGGTTGGAGATACTAAGGGGTTCAGCATAAAAGAACTAACAGCTTGGCAATAAATCCACATACCTTCCACAAACGTTCAGGAGAAACCTCATCATATCCTGAAGGAAACGATGAAGAACAACTCACTGCCCATTTCCTACAGGCAAGATGAAGCAAATTTGACCTTACAAGTCTTCGTGGAGGAAAGTCATCCAAAGCTTCAAAAGATAACCTGGCTCTCATGTCAGCAGCCTCACATCTCTGGCATATGTATCAATCAATATCCAAACACAGAAAATCAATAAGAAGCTTGCACTTATAAAATGTATAACTCCTTGATACAAGCTATCTGATAGTGCAAAAATAATTCAATTCAACAAGGAACTGAGACGAGAAGGATAGGAATTGCATTAAGTATTGGTGCAAATTTTTAGAGTCAAGACAAACAACAGTTTCTCATGCACTACAACTTAAATCTCCTAGTAATTAACCATTCTATAGTCTATACTGTTCGTAAATGAAGTGTTGGGAACTTATGTGCTACTTTGTGTTGTTTAGACTGTGAAATCAAAGGAAACAAATCTTTGTCTTGAAGTTGTTCCTAAACTTCTCTTCAACTGCAATTTAGTTACATATAATCAAGACAGGTCCTCGTGAGAGAAAAATGCTAGTGGTAGTGGCATCCTTCCATTTAAGCGACTAACATATTCAAATCCATCAAAAAAAAAACAAGAGAGAATAAGAAACCAAAAGCCAACATACAGTCTTTCACAGCTATGCACTATGTTTGATGGGTATTAGATAGACTCATAGACAGGATCATTAGATTTTTAACTCCAGATACTTGACATGATGTAGCCTTAGTTTCAATGAGCACTACAATATTAAGAACTTTTTACATGATTTTAACATGCATATCAGCGTATCCATGAGCCCATTGTACCAGAGTTACTATTTTTTTACATCGATATAGAAATTGCAATATTGTTTACACAAGCAGATAGCATTACCCTTAGATTATGTTCAGGATAAAGTTTACGAAGTTCTATTCTATGGATTTCCAATATCCTAGGGGAAGTGTTCAACAGCAACTCAGAATTATAACTATCTAGAACACTGAAACGACAGAAGCTGTCAAAACATGGTAATATCAGTAAAGGTAAAGTGAGAACTAGCATCAGCTTATACCACACCACATTTAAAAGAAAAGGGGAAAGAATAATTGTAAGTATAGGGCAAGTGAGTATTACATGGCCACGACGAATTTTTCTTCCACTCTGTACATGCAAAGCCGAGGAATTAGCAGTGCTAGCTAGCAAGCCAGTCAAGGCCCTTGGAGCCTTCCACGCACATGGAATCGGACTACAATCATATCTTCCACTCCCATCCCCTTTCGGATACTTACATATACTCACACATTCTACAGACACTGACAAATCTCAGATAATTAAGATTCAATTAGGCAAACCTTAATTAAAATTCACAGACACAAAACCTATAAGCAATATATAAGTACCTGAAAAATTTGGAGCAGAAGCCATATCTAATGAGAAGCATCGGAACCTAACAGCAGCCTCATTGAATCAAGCTAGGCATAATGGCAGAGAAGAAACAGAACATCAAACCACTCGAAATTCACTCAATTAAACTGATTAAATCGATGGTATGGATATGAAGCCGCGGAATGACCAGAGTTCAACTGCCGCTGTCAATCAAAAGATTCGTATAAGGCTTTTCCGTAGATGCTCGTCGATCATACTCCGGTAGTAAGATAAAAGTAGGGTTATATGAATAGCTTCGATTAAAACGAAAGTGTGAAAGAAGAACAACACAACAACAAGAGTAGAGGGGAAGAGGATAATGAAAATGGTTAGCCGAAAACCACAAAAAAAAGAGGGGTCTTGAAATATTAAGATTAATACAAAAATAAAAATGGAAAGATATTTTTAGGTGGTGATTTTGTTGGTGAAATATTTGTTGGAAATGGGATCGGCGGAACACGGTTGTTGCGTTGGAAGTTTTTTAAGATTCTATGGCACGCCGGTGACACGTTTGACCCCCCGGTTATTTCATTGGCTCACACCTAAATTTTCTTTTTTTGTTTGGCTTTCAAATAAGTTTACATAAGACAGAAAGGAATATAACTTATGAATGTAATTAATTTTTCGGTTTTTTTATATTTGAGTAATTTTTTTTTACACATCTAGGTAACAAACTTGTTGGAAGTGTTCACATATGATCATTTGTCTATACTTGTCATGTCCTTGTGCTTCCATGCAAACTTCTTGCTTCTAGCTTTGCGGAACTTCATTAGATCTTGTTCGATTTGTTCAGGTATTGAGGATCCTATGAGAATTTTGGATCCATGGTCTACCTAGTATAAAATTATAAAAGTATAATGTATCAATTACACAAAAACATTGTATAGAGTTTACCCCTTCTATGAAGATATCGTAGCATGTTACATCCGGTCATAATGGTCATATGTAAACACTTTCAACAAATTCGTTACCTAAATATGTAAAAAAAATATTCAAATATAGAAACACAATATTTATGACCATTTATGAGTATTTAAATTGGTCACGACATGTTGGAGCTGTTTTTTATAACATAATTATCAAATATATATAAACAAAACGAAAAGATAATTACTCTAACAAGTCAATAAGTTCGTTACCTAACAACAAAACGAAAAGATAATTACTCTAACAACAACCGGTCATAATTATCATATGTGAACATTTTCAATAAGTTCGTTACCTAAATGTGCACAAAAAAAATTATCCAAATTTAAACAAAACGAAAAGACAATTACTCTAACAAGTCAATTTTCGTTTTTATTAAAGTAGTCGATCATAATTTTTGCAATATTAATAGATTCAATTAAATTTTCTTAAAACAATATTTATGACCATTTATGAGTATTTAAATTGGTCACGACCTGTTGGAGCTGTTTTTTATAGCATTATATATATATATATATATATATATATATATATATATATATATATATATATTGGCTCCGGTGAGGACTCTTTTTAAAGTGATAAGTCGTGAGGACACCTTAAAAAATTGAAAAAAAAAATCTTAAAAAAATACAAATCATAAAATCGAGCATAATACTATATCCGGGAGGAAAAATATTGGAAAAAAAAGTTTGCATCATTAAAATTGAATCATGGATCATAAAAATGATCAATGCTTCAATTTTAATGATCCAAATTTTTTTCTCCAATTTTTTTCTCTTCGATGTAGTACTATGTTCGATTTTATGATTTGTATTTTTTTCAATTTTTTTAAGGTTTCCTCACGAGTCCTCACTTTAAAATAGTCATCACCTGATCTTAGGTTCAAGTATTCTAACTAATTACTGTGCGGATATCGTATGCTATGAGAATTACTAAGAGAATAAGTTGTTTAGCAATGCGAATACGTTCAACCTTACAAAAATATCGTCATTTTCATGCATTCTCGCTAATTATTATTTATTTTTGTTCTCACACATCGTTTTTCACTCATTTTCATTCTGACAGAATACGACCCAATAAACATTCTGACAAACATTCTAACAGAAATGAGAATAATAATAATAAGTGTATAATAACCTTATAGACGATTTAATTAGTGAGAATGTGTGTTAATGACAATAGTTATGTAAGATTGAACGTATTTATATTATCAAACAACATATTTTCTTTATCATTCTCATAGCATACGATATCCGCACAATAATTAGTTAGAATAGAATAACCTAAGCCTATATATATATATATATATATATATATATATATATATATATATATATATATAGGGTTAATCTCAAATAAGAACAACAAATAACGTGAGAACGTGAAAACGTGAAAACACTACTTTTATGTTATTATTATGCTGTGAATTTAATATGTATAGTATAATAATAATTATAATGTGAATTTTACATATAAATTTTCATATATTTATTTTTATGTTATTGTTCTATTATAACATTCATATTCATATATATATATATATATATATATATATATATATATATATATATAAAGGACAAGAGCAATGCTATCTATGTAGATAAAAGCTACTTCTATTTTTTGTATTTTAAATTCCTATAATACATAGAGTAAACTTCATTGAAGATGATGTTCTTCTTCATGTTATTGGTCTCCATCTTTGGTACTTTTAGTCTCTAGTAAATTTTAATTTTTGTATTTAATATCTTAAACAATAAAATTCTATAAAAGGACGGTGTGTTTTTTCCCTCTGTCAAATCTAGAGGTTTTTTTAACAAGTAGTGTATTTTAATAAGATATTTTACCAAAATGGCGTGGTTCTTAAAATATTTATCATTTAGGTTAAATTTTATACAAAATCAAAATTAGAAGGTAAAAAAAAAGAAATTGACTTATCAGGGTAATTACCTTTTCGTTTTCTTTCATATTTAGGTAACTTTTTTTGTACACGTCTAGGTAACGAACTTGATGAAAGTGTTCGCATATGACCATTATGATCGAGTGTAACCTGCTACAACAGGTCATAATGGTCATATGTGAACACTTCCAACAAGTTCATTATGGTCTATTGACTTTCATTTTTGTGGTTATGGTCCTTTTGTCCACTTTTTAATGTGGAATTGCCCCCTCTGTTTAAGGCCCGTTAGTATCCATCTGTTAACACCCCCATGTGAGACCCACGTGAGGGTAACAACATCATTTCATTTTGCAGGCTCCTTACCGTCATTATGAAATACACAAGATGTAATATCATTCGTAGATCCTACGCATTCCTTCTCTTTCATTTTGTTGTGTAATCCCCAAAAAAAAACCTAAACCTTGCGACGATCCTTCACCATCAGAACGACTATTGAGAGGAGATGGTGTATCAAATGTGGACAATCTGTCCATTGAACTAACAATTCGACACAAGAGGCATATATGGTAAGTTCTTAAGTCTCATTTACTGATATCCTTTTCATTACAAGCAAATGAACCAGATTATTGAAAGAAACTAACTTGATTTTTCTTCTTTATTTTTTTCCTATGAGCAGAAAGTAATCCCAATATGCTTTTTTATGCAACTTCACCATGGTAGGAAGTTTACAAAATTTCCAGGAATTAGATACATACACGGAAAAATTTGGTATGTAGACCTATTGGACATAAAAGAATTTTCTGCTCATGATATGGACTCGATAATGCTTGAACTAGATTGCATTGTCCCCCCTGGTCATTTACTATCATTTCAGAATTCTCCATAGTAGACTGGAATTTGGATTGAGGGTTTTGTGGAATGATGATGATGTCCTCAATTCAGCATAATATATTAAGGACAAAAAGATGATTAAGGTGTACACTGATCATTGGTCAACAAACTCGATGACCTATTACATGTCGCCAAATCGTGGTATACGTATTACAATTGAGGAGATTGACAATGAGGCAAACATTGGTCATGGAAATCCAATACAAAATAGTGGTGAGGCAACCCTTGCTCATGCAACTCCAAGAGATAATCCTGAAGAAGCTTTTGGTATTGCAAAAGTATTTGTGGGTTCTTACATTGACTTGATATTATGTGATAGTGTGTCAAAAGAAGGGTCTCGGAGTTTAGCAAATTCAGAAAGGATAATCAACTTAAGGGTAAAAGTTCATGTAGTAAGAAGTTATGCTTGGAATACTTGGACAATGAAGTGTTTGAAGAAGGACATACACAAAAGAATGTTGATGATGAACTATAAGAACCCAAACTTTAGATAGATTTGACTTTGAGTCAAATATTGGCCAAAAAGGGCAATTTAGTTATTTAATGGAAATAATGAATGTGAAATTGAACTCCATTGTTGATCTTGTGATCTGATATCTATTGCACTTCTATATGAGTTCATTCAGACGATCATAGTACAATTCAATGGATTATCCTTCTTTCTGCTTAAACTCTCTTAACTCCAACATACATTGTTTGACTGAACTGATTTTTGTTTTCTCACTGACCTGATACTTTTCCTTCAAAGTATTTCAGATCTCCTTTGAAGTTTTGCAGCTACGAACATAATTGTATACGACAGGTGGAAGAGCACCACTGAGTTCTCGCATACATCTCTTTTCATTTTTCAGCAATCTTTCAGTTTGTTCATTAACATTTGGATTTGTAGCAGAAGTTCCAACACTTCGAACAGCAGGAGAAGGATGAATATCATCAGTGATGCATTTCCAGAGTTCCTCATCAATTCCATTTAAGTAGTCCTCCATACGATCAACCCATTGATCGTAGTACTCAGGAATTAACATAAGAATCTTTGTAGATGATCCTAGAAGATGAGAAAAGGAGGTCATGGTGTTCATGTTAAAGTTTGCCATTGATGTACGGAAGGTTTTTGAGAAAAGCTTTAGGTTTTTGAAAATTAATGGATGAATCAACCAGAAAACAGAAATCGAACACTCGATTAAACAATCTAATCACAGAATCGAATCACTACTGAAGATCTCATAGGATTTTCTAAATCAAAAGTGCGGAAACTTTTGAATCTAGAACGAGACTCAAAATACTTTTGAAATAAGAGAAAATCAGATCAACGCAGAATGAAACCTGCTCTGATACCAAATGTAGTGTAGATTGAATCGAGTTTGCAATACGAGATCAGAGTTAAGAAATGATTTAGAACACAAGATCTAAATATAATTTGGTTGGCTCAAATTTATGCTTTCAGAGAATACAAGAGAATATGAGAGTACAATGCAAGTATTCACGCTCCACTCTAAACATGTATCCATCCCATATTTATAGGGATAAACAAAGCATACAAAAAAAATATAAGGGACTCGAAATTACAATTTCGAAATGTAAATGCCCTTATAATAAACTTTACAAACTGACTTTCGACACACTGAA